TTCCGATCTCCCCAAAACCCCAAAACCCCAAGCGAACTATATAATAAAATAAGTAAAGAAAGATAATTTTTATAAATCATAAATAATATATATATAATTGCTTCAATTATAAAATGTAAGTTGAGGATGCCTATTTCCCACTCTTAGCCTTTAATGTAGCTATCTTCTTGATTTATACAATAAGTGCACTGATAATTTTGATTGTGTTCAAGTTTAAAATGGACAAATCAGCTATACTAACAATATTCACATTTTTCTTCAACTTTATCATATTTTGCTATGATTGGGGCATAAAAAATAGATTAAAACGTCTTGCATATGGAACGTCTTAAGCCTTAGATTACTTTGATTTCGCCATTGATTATGCCTCATTCATAATGTTCAATATAATGATAATATACTTTGCTTTTGAGATGAGGCTCGTGTATCTTAAACATGTCAGTCAGTCTCATTAAGATTTCATAATTAAAAAGAAGAGGAACTTTTTTTTTCGTAATTTACTTTAAGTCCTTGTGTTTGGAGTATTAGCTACAAACACAGCTTTAGAGAGATATGTTTAAGATTAATAGATGAAATATGACTTAGAAGAATTTGAGAATGGCAATATTCTCATCTTAATCAGTAGCTCTATAAGATTATTTTGCGATGCTATTATCTTAAGATTACTAGTGAAATACTTCACATTTTTCGCAAACCAGAGGTAGCGTGGATTCAAGTTAAACAGGCTTAAAATTCCTTTGAAGTTTACCTTAATCATCATCTGGGTCTACTTCTTATTTTTCGTTTAGGCTTTTGATACCTTAACTAAATTTGTAGTCACTAATTTGATGAGGAAATCAGATATTTTTTCTTATGAATTTTTCTTGCTTTATAGATATCTTTTCTCAGCTTTCCAAATATTTTTGAGTGGAATGACAGTCTTGTACTTATTTCACCAACAAGCTTTGATGAGTTTGAAAGCATAGTAATCATAGATAAGATAAATAAAGATGAATAGAGACACAGATGCTGAGAATGTTATTAGAATTCTTGAGGATATTAAGACTCCTCAAATCACTTAGTATAGGGCAAAAGCAGATATAAGCAAAAGTAGTTTAAGTATTTAAATGTAAAGCAGCAACTTTGGATGCTAAACTGATTCAATGTTGGATAAAACAGACCCCATTCGCTAATAGTCTGATTCAGAGGAGAGTTCAGAGGAAGAAGAAGATGGAGAGATTAGTTAGGGATACATGGATTCTCCGAGCGATAAAAGCGATTTCAGACGTTTCTTAAATGCTTAGATAAGTATGATTGAGAGAAACTATAATAAGAAGTAGCAATATTTAAGATCTGATTGAATTGAAATTAGACAATTAATCTTTAAAATCTTAATTTCTAAAATGATCATTTCGTATTTAGATTTTTAATTTCTTAGAATATGTTCTTTGAATCATTTCGACAATTCGGGGTTTTGGGGTTTTGGGG